GAGTTAGTTACAGCGACCTCTTTGACAGTATCCTTCTGAGATGTACACAAATGAAGAACACATTGTGAAAGCCAAGTGTCAGTGATGACACTTTTGAAGAAGTTACCTGGCTTCAGTGGTAATTTTCATTCTTTCTCTAGAGAATGAAAGAACTTGCTTGAAGTTCTTGCTTCTGACCTTGGGGACACATCTGGGGCCTCACATCTTCCACTTCTTCACACTTTTGCAGTCAGGATCCCATTAGCTTAGGGACAGGGAAAGAGACACAAGCCAGGGCAAAATGCTCAGCTCACGGGCTCAGACTAATTCTCCGAACACCATGGGCAGATCTAAGAGCAGCCAAGGAAAAGTAAAGCACAACCCCTCTGCTTGTGGCAGGCTGTGCATGCCACATTCATGTGATCCAGCATCAATGCCTGCAGGGAAAACAGCAGCTTTCAGGCAAGTTAGTTTCAAGGATGGAAACAACTGAGTGTATTGGAAGGAAGGTGAGATTTCTGTTGCAGGGAGAAAAAATTAACATGGTAAATAAAAGAGCAGATCGGCTGAAGAGCACAGCTTCTCAAGAGGCCCTTGGCACTGCCTGGGGCCAAAACCCAGCTCAGCAGAAGAGCAGGGCACGAATCCAGATGTTCATGTTGTCCCAGACTACATGCTCAGAGTACTCCCCAGTACCCAGGTAGCCTTTCACCACAACTGCTACTTACCTTTGGTATAGGGGCTGTACATTTACTGGAGTGTTTGGAGCACTAGATTAAAATGTCTCTGATGATCTCAATTTGGAAGCCCTTCTTCTACAAAATGTTTCACAGGAAAGTTTCTTTTTGGAGATGTACATACCAAAAAATTGCTAAAGACTGTATTGTTGAAGACAAATGTAAGAGCTGCTGTCATCTAAAATAAGCAGCTAGTGCACTTTGATGTACAGCAGAAACTTTTTGGATGTTACAAAAATAGCCCCTTGTATTAATCTGACAGGTCCAGCCCCCGCAGAGGTGTACAAAGCCTTAGCACAAGCAAATGCCTTTTGATGCCTTGCTGAGTCGCTACATCACCAGCTCCTCACGGAAAGCCTTCACCTAAATGTGTAATGTATGCTTCACTAATTGCTGTGATGTGTAAAACAGGGCGTGTGAGGATGATACAGGTTACAGGGGCTGGACTGTGAAGTTTAATTATAAGTTACAAAATCTCAGCATCATACAGATTGTTTGCATTAGTGATCTGAGGCTTCTTACATCTTACTGCAAGAAGTCTATAGCTTTAGCTCATCAAGCGCATTCATTTTCCCTTAAGAATAGGAGAATTTCATCTTCAGGAAACAAATTAAACAAATACTTTTTATACTAAATATGCTTAACCTAAAGCTTTCTCCTTATTATTTCATAAATGCCTTGAGATTATAGGGGCTCAGCTAGCTTAGTAAAGATGAATTGCATGTGATCCTGGGAATACAGCCATTGCATTAGTTATTCTTCCTTTCCATGGCATCAGGCTTTTTGTAAATAATCTGCATGTTTAATCAATGGAGACTAATTAAGAAAAAGGGGCATGCTTTATTGTTGCATTAAAACCTGTTCATTGCCATAGGCAAGATGTCATCAATATTTCTAGATGAAAATTACTACTTGCAATGTGCATCATGGAGAATTTTACTGTAACCATTAAAAAAGCTAAAAGAATATTTTATCACTGGGTACAAACAGCCATATGCAGATTTACAACTATGTAACCAAATGCATAATTCATACGTGTATACGATATTTTGGAAGAAAGGGATTATAATGAACTTGATTACTTCAAGGATCCTAAAAGACAGAAATCTCTTTAAACTACCTCCAGAGCAAGTCTGCTCTAAATAAGACCAGCCAAGTGCTAATATCAGTTATTCCACTCTAAGTATGTACTTTCTTTATCGACTTTAACAGATTTTTCCTTAATTCACAGTGGTAACAAAACAGTTACCACTGCCCCAAACCAGCTGATTTATATGCCAAATAGCATGGCAGAGTAAATGCCACTTAAGGCCAGATCCATCAGCTTTTTTCATACAATCACTCACATTGATTTAAGCAGAATCAATCAAGTCAGCAGGATTCAGTCAGGCAATGTCTATATTAGCAATAGGAGCAGCACTGTGGGATGAAATAGCTTGTGCTGGGAGCCTGATGTCTGTGCCAGTGGTATGCTGGAGAGAGGATGTTACTCCAGCTGAGCTCCTGCTTGGCCCCACAGTTACCCATTAGCAGCTGGAACAAGCACAGCAACTGGGAAATTCCCTTCAGAAATGTTCTTATAAAAACAAGGATGTGGACACATCCCCAGATGGCCACAAGCCTGCCAGTATCTCACACACTTCATCACAGTTTAGTGAAGAAGAGGTGTTATGGATCAGTCTTCCCAGGACACCACAAGTGCTGGGTCATTCCCGTGGCTGGACTTGTTCAAGAGACAGACGTGCTATATACACTTAACCTGCTTAGAGACCTATATTGTATGTGTATTTTGAGGTCCAGACTGATAGAGAAAGAAAGGTTCAGTGAAAGGGACACCCCTCAATGAAAGGTGCCAAGGAAGAACTCAAGGATGGACAAGAGTTTCACCTCCAACCAAAGGAAAACGTTGTTTATTAACCACTGAAGTGACAGCTGCTACTGCAGCTATGTAATACTTCTGTATGTATGGAGGAGAAAAATTACTTAAATAAGCCCTTAACTAAAAGGGTGGCAGGAGTGTCTCCTGCAGAGAGGAGATGTTGCCCAGAACAATAACGCTGTGCAGATTCCCCAGGATACCTGAGCAATGAGATTGACTCTACTTACATGTGTGTTATGCTAACTGAATGATAACTAAGTCTTCATCTCCATGGGGATGGTGGGCCTAAACCAAGGCCCATGGGACAGGCAATAAGTGCCCAAGCTCCCCTGAGTCTTCTCTGTGGCATCCTAGGGAAGGGACTGCACATTTCCATGTCCTGAGGTAGCAGCACAGACTGTGTCCTGCAGGGCTGGACAGGCAGGGACATCCTTGGGGAATCATGGGGAAAGCTCATGTGTCTGATGAACGGCAGAGCATGGGGTGCTTGGGAACCTCTGTCAGTGCTTGAATAAGGAATCTGTTTTCCTAGGGTATTTCCCAAGTGTATCCAATCAGTGTAGTTCTTCTGAATTGAAACAACTGCCAACTAATTTGCACAAAACAGCATCAGTTCAACTTAACCAGGATGTGCCTGAGGGAAACAGGGAGCCAAGTATGATTACATCGCTACAAATTCCTGATTGTTTGCTCTCGCAATGCAGAAGGATCAAAATAAAATAGGGGTACAGTAAAAACACCATCACTTTTTAATAAGCTATTTTACCTCACTTTTTTCCATCAGTATAAATGAGACAGCTGCTTTGCTTTGTATCTCAGTACTCATCCAGGGTGCATATCCTTGAGCACCTCTATCTGTTCTATATTTCATTGCTGAAATAATGATAGAGATAAGCCAATAGAGCTGCTCCAGTACCAGTATACAAAACAGTCACAGCTCTCAAGAAACACAGAAATTAAACAAATTCTTTTTCCAAAAAAAGTAGTATACACATACACACTTACACATATATACAAACTTTTTTCTTACTGCCTACTGTGACTTCAGAAAAGGTAATATATTGATTATTTTCACCAGGGACATGCCAATCATGTAATCAATGCATTTAGGTATTTCCAACTGTGTCTCATTTCTCTGCTGTTTTTTGCAGCTCTTCTGCATTAGACCCAGCTGGAAAATACAACTCTGATGATATTTTGACTATTTGTGATTTATATGTCAAATCCACATTAAAGTCCTTAAATTCTTTTCAAAACAGTTTTCAACTGATAGTGGAACCATTGGTGTGTTCTTAGTTAAGAAATTACTGCTTTAAGACAGTGTCTCAAATTCTATAAATTTTAGCATCTCCTTTCAGGCTCCTCTTGAATAGCAGAAGTTTAGGCCAATTGATTACTCTGCTACTTTCTCAGGAGATAATCTTGTTTCCTCCATCTTGTTATGGATTTTTTAGATGTTCAAGTAGTGGTATGTGTAGATGTAGAAGTACACATCTTTTCTTGGTAAAAATCCTTCAGCTTCTGGATGACTTAGTATCTGTCCTCATCAGACATGAAAGGTTTATACACTATACATAGTACTGTAAATTCACAATAAATTGCAGTAGATGACTGAAGGTACTTTGAAATCCAAAGTATTGTTAAGTTCCTCTGGGCTTTCTCAGGGCATCATGGGCACAACATCTCACCGGAGCAGTCTTCTGTGGGTGCGTAATTAAAAGCACGATGCATGGCTAACCTTAAAATCTGAGCCATTAGGAAAGTCTGTGCATATAAGGATTTGGTAGGCTGGGTCCTTCAAATGCTACCTATGATTTTGGAAGTATAATCAAAAATTATAAGTAGTGTATCAACAAGATCTAGATGTGTAATTTTTATTTTATTACTGCAATTTCTCCCCTAGCAGAAAGACTTCTTCTGTAGATCTGTACATACTGAGATGATAACTGATACAGTTTTATCTTTGATCTAATTCATTGTAATGATTTGTAGGTATTTGTTTCTTAATTTTGCATCTTCATTCAGATATTTTTTAAGTAGTTAGATAACCATAGTGTTTAAAATTGCCCACTGATCAAAAGGTATTACTGGGTGCTTTCGTTCTGACATGACAGCAGAAAATCATCTTACTGACACAAAAATTCTTTGCTTGTTTATGTGTTCATTTATGTTCTGTCACTATTTCTTCTCTGTTAATCCTGTTTTTTTCATCTACCTCCTTAATAATCCATTAAATCACTCACCTGGCTTTTAGAAAGTTCCCTGTCTGGATAAACTGAGATAGAAACCATTCACACTCTTCACACCACTGCCAATAACGAGATTATTTACCAATTATACTATTATGTGCAAAATCTCATTTGATTATACCTTAACTATTCTGTTTTTCCCTCCCTACCTCACAGATGATGGAAATGCTTAAAACAAGTTAAGGTAGTATGACACAGACTAACGTAAGTGTGAGCATGGCATCCAGGGGACAAGCTGTGAAATGTTTGCGCGCTTCTGCCAAAATACATTGCATGGCTTTCTGCTGTTGTCTCGTGTTTCTGATGTTAGGCAGCATGTTCAGCAACATGTGTTTCATTTATATTCCTAGCTCAGCTTTGGGTTTGTGTAGCCTTAATATTCTGCCTTTTTCAGTAGCTTGTGGCAGCTGCTAGTGGCAAATCTGCAGGCTGTGTTTGTCATTCTTGAGAAGCCGTCAGAAGTACCTGCTAGGATCAGGACCCCCCTGGATATGATTGTTTAGAAATCTGAGGTAGAAATGTTGAAGTGTGTAATTCAAATGGGTCAGGAACAGAATCAACCCTTCTGTGCTTGCTGGTGGAAAGCAGCAGCTCCCAGTTTGCCTTTTCCAGAAGTCAAGGCTGGTACTATCGCAGCTGGCTCGGCTACAGCATCTGTGCCTTCACAATGTGAATGCTTTGTGACGACTCCTCTGTTGTCAAACTCTTGCTTCATGTGACAGATGACACTTTCAGATTACAAATGTTGTTTTCACAGTCTCTGTTAAAAAAAGACTATTTTTGATGCAGGCAAATATGATGTTTTCCTGTGTTTGTAATACTTCTTTTAATCTTAGCATGTGTAAAGCTTATAAAGGTGAGACCAATCACAGCAGCTTGAAACTTACTTATCCACACAGGTCTTCTGGTGCTGCCTGTTATTTTGAGAGACAGGACTCAATTATTCCCTCCCTGGGTTTCTCTTCTCCCAGGATTGTCACTCATATTTTAGGCATACTGGCGGGGTTTTTTTGTCATGAGGCTGGTCAAATATTGACAGGTTGCCCAGCAAGGTAGTGTCACCTCCATCCTTGGAGATACTCAGAACTTGACTGGACATGACCGTGAGCAACCTGCTCTGGTTGAACGTTCTTAGAGAAGGGAATCGGAATACATGACCTCCAGAAGTCCCTTCCTACTTGCAGTTGTCAATGATTCTACAATTTCATGACTGTACAGGTGGGGATTAGAGTTAAGCCACTAAAATAACTTAAGCTATGCTGTAAGCCATCATTCAAAACCAGATCACCATATATCAGTGTGCTGGTCACTGTTCCACTTTTCTGGATGATAAAATGGTGATTATCAGATGCTGGTTATTACTTTCTGTATACCCAGTTCAACCACTCGCAACTGAGTTTACACATGTAGGTATTTGTTCTATTTTCAACAATATGTGCAACAATCTATGCAACAAAAATATGTGCTGAATAGCATGTGTTGTGTGAGAACAGGATGACTTATCAGAAACATCTCTACTTTTGAATTATTGGAGCTATGCCAGCTGATACTGACAGCTGTCTACATGATGTTTTTATAGCTCTTCTCAAGTTTCCCGTGTAAGATCCCTACCTCTGTTCCTAAGACATTAATGATTAGACTGTCAGAGCTGAGAAAATCCACCTAGCGAGCAAGGTCACCTTTGCTGTTCTTAGTAACAAAGAAAAATGCCAGGCTAACGAGGCTCAGGAAGTCCTAATTAACGTCAATGGCAAACTCAAAGCCAGGGGAAAATAGGGCTGGCAAAATAATTCTCTCTAGAGCTAAGATTGTTTTTTGAAACCATTGTAAAAGAAGCCTGGAAGTTGTATTTTCAAATATGGTTAGTGCTGGGGATGGGTTGCAGAAAAGAAAGAGAATCAATGATGGGTTTGTGATTTCCCTGCCTCCTTCTCCTCAGTGAGTTCCTCCTAGCAGTCAGAGCCTCTGAGACTCAATCAAGGCCCCGAGACAGGAGCACTGTATATCTCTGTTCCCACCAGCCAAGAAGTCACCATGCTCCTGCTTCAGCTTGGCCCCTTCACTCCCCAAGAAAAGTGCCTCTCTGGTAATACTGGAGCCATGACACGTGCAAAGCTGGGCCACCCCACACCTCACACCTCCTCCCCTTGCTGCCAGAAATCCATCTACCCTCGTCCTGCACAGCAAAACAAACAAGGGCCAACATTTACCCACAGTTGTCGTGCATAAATAGATGTCCCATAGACCATTTTTTGTAGGAGACTCCTCACAGATCTGTCTCTAACACCACTTAAAGTTCCTGAATTTGCCTTTGAGTCTTGTAAAATGAAATAGTCCCTTCTCCCAAAGCACCCTGTTAAGCATTTTTACTCCCATTTTCTTCCCTTGAACTACTCTTAGTCCAAAGTTCAGATTCCCTGCGTTGGGTTAATCCCCCTGATTGTCATGTCCCTCCTCTCAGTTCTCTGCCCCCCTTACAGGTTTGATACAACCAGCTGTTCCTCAGACACCCTTATCTGGCAGAGAGCTGCTAAGTCCTGCAAAGTTTCAGCCTATTCAAATGTATAATCTGGGTGTTTCATGCTGATCTCCTCACTCAGCCATCTCTGGTTTCTGTGTCAGCCCAGTGCTGCTGGAAGAAGCTTGGTTTCCCCACTGATTGCCTTCTATGGCAACTGAGTTGGAGACTCTTTTTTTGTAAGTGTGAGGAAGCAATCCATAAATGAGAGTGGTTTTGTTTTCAGTGCCCATATGTGGATAATAGCACCTGCAACCATGTTTTAAATTCCAGAAAGAAATATTCAAATCAGATTTGATGAACAAAATTCCTACCACCTTTCAGGAGTGGGAGAGTAAAACAATTCTCCGAGGATGCTGTGACCTCCCAGTGTTGGAAAGCCTTAGGGGTATATTATTTAACATCATCATAAGTGACTCTGGTGCAATTAGCCTACCTTGGGACAAGGAGTGGTCTGCATGACCCCTGAAGTTCTCTCCTGCGTGTTTTTGTATGATTCTGTTATTTTTAATGATGTTAAGAGCCTCAGCCAGAAAATTTAATCACAGTTCTAAATTGCGTGCATGTCTAAGTGGCTGACACCAGGACACAAATTTGCCAGTAAGAGATGACAGACCTGAAGAACCACTGCAGACTGTTGAATGTCATCATCTCCCTCTTGACACACATGCACACAAGAGTGTAAGTCCACTGTACACTGCCACTGCCTGCCTGTGTAATAACAGGCCAATTTACATAGTTAGTCAACTCCAGCAGTACCCACAGAGCAGATATTGTAGCTCACTGGATCATGCTCTCATTTGTTCCTCTGCCTCTTAGAGCTTCAGAGCATCCATACTTCATTAAATCCTGTGACTCAGTTACCTCCTCCAGTTATGTCATTATGGGCAAATGATGGGAATAGTTTTTCTAATGACCTACAGTGCAGTTTTATTACTCACAAGAAGGTTAAATCCTTCAAAGAATTATTCACAGAATGTCATCATTGATCCAAATGTTCACCTGTAATTTCATTCAAACTTCAGCCACATGGTCTCTGACCATGTCAGATTACGAGACTGGTTTCTTGTCCTGGTGGCTTCTCTCTGAAGTGTTTCAGTAACAGGAACATGTGCCTTTGGATTTACCATGACAGCCTCTGCACTTCCCAGGCAGGCATCTAGCTCCTCATATTGATGCTGGGTGGCCTTGAATATGTCCACACAGCTACTGTCTTGCTGCTTCATCTGCCCCACAGCAGCATTAAGCAAAAGTCAGTGCTCTCCGAAATGGTCACTGTCTGTCTCACTTGTCTACTGTTGGGTTTCCTCTGTTCCCTGTGTTTAGGTATCATCTGCACCACAAAGCTAGGCATGCCCCCCTCAGGACATTTCTTGTCTCATGTCCTAATCCCTGGCTGTCCTTAGCTGATAGATACTTATGCTAGCCTCTGTCATCTCCACAAGGTCTTCTGTCCTGACATTTCCACTTCACCCATCCCTCACTCATGCTGCTGTTGCAGTGCCACCACTGGGGCTCTGGGAACCATGCGTAACAAAAAGGGTGCACACCACATCTTCCTCTGCCCCCATCTGCTGTTCTCCACCACATGCTGATCCTCTCCAGTGTTGCCAGCTTTGATCTCAAGGTCAGATTACTCAGGGAGTAAACAAGAGTATAAGTGTTTTTCACTGGGCTGGTGTGTAGGCACAGCTCTCCTTTCCCCAATGCTCCTGTTGCTCACAAACCCAAAAGAATAGTGCTTGTTAACTTTCAGCAGAAACATACTCTTATTCATTTTTGAAAGTGTGTTCATGACTCAAGCAAGGAGTGCAGTCCCAGGCAGCGTCCCTGCCCCACCCAGAATATTAATATGACTTCTGGGGACGTGAAAGAGCTTTACGCAAATGGGGACTTGAGAGAGACACTGGACTGAGCCCAACAAAGCACATTGTTTCCTGGAAGTGCCTAAGGAGCCCTAACGAATTCAGCAGAATGATCCATGGACTGAGAGGTGTGTTCCTATCTAAGTGCTTTTCTGGCTGACAGCCACAGACCAACTTGCTCCTGAAAGCCCATGGGACAGCTGGGAAAGCAAAATCTGCCCAGTGGAATACCAGTGTCTCTCTTGCCCAAAGACTGTCCAACTTCCTGATGTGTGAAAATTGCAGTCTTTATCAAAGACATCAAAAAGCTCAGCAGACCTCAAGCTTTCCTTCATTCAACAGAGCGCAGTTTTAATCCTTCATTAGGACTGGCCAGCCTTTCTGCATCATGTGTCCCCAAAATACCGACATTTTCCTACAGCCAACAGCCACCAGTCAGACCATGAAGATCTGAAGCAGAATGAAGATTTTCATAGACAAGAGCAGGGTCCCTCTCCTACACTCACTATGTAGCACAGGTTGGCTGGGCTTGTGCTGGTATCTGCAACCCCAAACCCTGCCATACCAGCGGGACTCCTGTGTTAGGTGGAGGCTGTCAGTCCTATGGGAACCACAGTGCTTGGAAATCAGAGCTGAACCACTCATCAAACATAGCCAAAGGATGAGAAATTATCAACTGCCTTAAGGGTTGGATTTGCAGTATAATGTTGGCTTCCTTTATAGTGGCGGCATGTGATATCCCTTCTCTGCGTTCACACCACACAAAGAACTTAGCAGGCACAAACCTAGACAGGCCAGTAGCCTCTCACAACCTGTCAATA